ATATATATTAACCCAATACAGGAGCACCCAGATTCATAAAGCAAGTCCTTGGAGACCTACAAAGAGACTTAGACACCCACACAATAATAATGGGAGACTTTAACACCCCACTGTCAACATTAGACAGATCCACAAGACAGAAAGTTAACAAGGATATCCAGGAATTGAACTCAACTCTGCACAAAGCAGACCTAATAGACATCTACAGAACTCTCCACCCAAAATCAACAGAATATACATTCTTAGCACCACATCGCACTTATTCCAAAATTGACCACATAGTTGGAAATAAAGCATTTCTCAGCAAATATAAAAGAAGAGAAATTATAACAAACTGTCTCTCAGACCACAGTGCAAACAAACTAGAACTCAGGATTAAGAAACTAATTCAAAACTGCTCAACTACATGGAAACTGAACAACCTGCTCCTGAATGACTACTGGGTATATAACAAAATGAAGGCAGAAATAAAGATGTTCTTTGAAACCAATGAGAACAAAGACACAACATACCAGAATCTCTGGGACACATTTAAAGCAGCGTGTAGAGGGAAATTTATAGCACTAAATGCCCACAAGAGAAAGCAGGAAAGATCGAAATTGACACCCTAACATCACAATTAAAGCCACTAGAGAAGCAAGAGCAAACACATTCAAACACTGGCAGAAGAGAGAAAATAGAACTAAGATCAGAGCGGAACTAAAGGAGACAGAGACACAAAAAATCCTTCAAAAAAATCAATGAATCCAGGAGCTGGTTTTTTGAAAAGATCAATAAAATTGATAGACCACTAGAAAGACTAATAAAGAAGAAAAGAGATAAGAATCAAAGAGATGCAATAAAAAATGATAAAGGGGATATCACCACCGATCCCACAGAGATACAAACTACCATCAGAGAATACTATAAACACTTCTGTGCAAATAAACAAGAAAATCTAGAAGAAATGGATAAATTCCTGGACACACACACCCTCCCAGGACTAAACCAGGAAGAAGTTGAATTCCTGAATAGACCAATAACAGGCTGTGAAATTGAGGCGATAATTAAGAGCCTACCAAGCAAAAAAAGTCCAGGACCAGATGAATTCACAGCCAAATTCTACCAGAGGTACAAAGAGGAGCTGGTACCATTCTTTCTGAAACTATTACAATCAATTAAAAAAAGGGAATCCTCCCTAACTCATTTTATGGGGCCAACATCATCCTGATACCAAAGCCTGGCAGAGACACAACAAAAAAAGAGAATTTTAGACTAATATTCCTGATGAACATCGATGCAAAACTCCTCAATAAAATACTGGCAAACCAAATCCAGCAGCACATCAAAAAGCTTATCCACTATGATCAAGTGGGCTTCATCCCTGGGATGCAAGGCTGGTTCAACATAGGCAAATCAATAAAACGTAATCCATCATATAAACAGAACCAAAAACAAAAACCATATGATTATCTCAATAGATGCATAAAAGGCCTCTGACAAAATTCAACAGCCCTGCATTCTAAAAACTCTCAATAAATTTGGTATTGATGGAACGTATCTCAAAATAATAAGAGCTATTTTTGACAAACCCACAGCCGATATCATACTGAATGGGCAAAAACTGGAAGTATTCCCTTTGAAAACTGGCACAAGACAGGGATGCCCTCTCTCATCACTCCTATTCAACATAGTGTTGGAAGTTCTGGCCAGGGCAATCAGGCAAGAGAGAGAAATAAAGGGTATTCGATTAGAAAATGAGGAAGTCAAATTGTCCCTGTTTGCAGATGACGTGATTGTATATTCAGGAAACCCCATCGTCTCAGCCCAAAATCTCAAGCTGATAAGCTACTTCAGCAAAGTCTCAGGATACAAAATCAATGGGCAAAAATCACAAGCATTCCTATACACCAATAACAGACAAACAGAGAGCCAAATCATGAGTCAACTCCCATTCTCAGTTGCTTCAAAGGAATAAAATACCTAGGAATCCAACTTACAAGGGGTGTGAAGGACCTCTTCAAGGAGAACTACAAACCACTGCTCAACAAATAAAAAAAGACACAAACAAATGGAAGAACATTCCATACTTATGGATAGGAAGAATCAATATCGTGAAAATGGCCATACTGCCCAAGGAAATTTATAGATTCAATACAATCCCCATCAAGCTATCAATGACTTTCTTCACAGAATTGAAAAAAACTACTTTAAAGTTCATATGGAACCAAAATAGAGCCCACATTGCCAAGACAATTCTAAGCAAAAAGAACAAAGCTGGAGGCATCACGCTACCTGACTTCAAACTTTACTACAATTCTACCATAACTAAAACAGCATGGTACCAGTATCAAAACAGATATATAGACCAATGGAACAGAACAGAGGCCTCAGAAATAACACCACACATCTACCACCATCTGATCTTTGACAAACTTGACACTCATAAGCAATGGGGAAAAGATTCCCTATTTAATAAATGGTGTTGGGAAAACTGGCTAGCCATATGCAGAAAACTAAAACTGGACCCCTTCCTTATACCTTAGGACCATAAAAATCCCAGAAGAAAACCAGGGCAATACCATTCAAGACATAGGCATGGGCAAAGACTTCATGTTTAAAACACCAAAAGCAATGGTAACAAAAGCTAAAATAGCTACATGGGATCTAATTAAATGAAAGAGCTTTTGTGCAGCAAAAGAAACTATCATCAGAATGAGCAGGCAACCTACAGAATGGAAGAAAATTTTTGCAATCTATTCATCTGACAAAGGTCTAATATCCAGAATCTACAAGGAACTTAAACCAATTCACAAGAAAAAAGAAATATATCAAAAAGTGGGCAATGTGAACATACGCTTCTCAAAAGAAGACATTTACACAGCCAACAAACATGAAAAAAAGCTCATCGATGCAAATCAAAACCACAGTGAGGTATCATCTCATGCCAGTTAGAATGCTGATCATTAAAAAGTCAGGAAGCAACAGATGCTGGAGAGGGTGTGGAAAAGTAGGAATGCTTTTACACTGTTGGTGGGAGTGTAAATTAGTTCAACAATTGTGGAAGACAGTGTGGCGATTCCTCAAGGATCTAGAACCAGAAATACAATTTCATACAGCAATCCCATTACAGGGTATATACCCAAAGGATTATAAATCATTCTACTATAAAGACACATGCACACGTATGTTTACTGCAGCAATATTTACAATAGCAAAGACTTGGAACCAACCCAAATGCCCATCAATTATAGACTTATAAAGAAAATGTGTCACATATACACCATGGAATACTATGCAGCCATAAAAAAGAATGAGTCTAGGCTGGGCATGGTGGCTCACGCCTGTAATCCCAGCACTTTGGGAGACCAAGGTGGGCGGATCACCTGAGGTCAGAAGTTCGAGACCAGCCTGGCCAACATGGTTAAACCCTGTCTCTACTAAAAATACAACAATTAGCCAGGTGTGGTGGTGGATGCTACTCGGGAGGCTGAGGCAGGAAAATCGCTTGAACCCAGGAGGCAGAGGTTGCAGTGAGCCGAGATTGTGCCATTGCACTCCAACCTGGGTGACAAGAGCGAATCTCTGTCTCAGGAAAGAAAGGAAAGAAAGGAAGAAAGGAAGGAAGGAAGGAAGAAGGAAGGAAGGAAAAAGAAGGAAAGAAAGAAGGAAAGGAAGGAAAGGAAGGAAGGAAGGAAGAAAGAAAGAAAGAGAGAGAGAAAGAGAGAGAGAAAGAAAGAAAGAAAGAAAGAAAGAAAGAAAGAAAGAAAGAAAGAAAGAAAGAAAGAAAGACAGAGAGAGAGAGAAAGAAAGAAAGAAAGAAAGAAAGAAAGAAAGAAAGAAAGAAAGAAAGAAAGAAAGAGAAAGAAAGAAAGAAAGAAAGAAAGAGAAAGAGAAAGAGAAAGAAAGAAAGAAAAGAATGAGTTCATGTCCTTTGCACATGGATGAAGCTAGAAACCATCATTCTCAGCAAACTAATACAGGAACAGAAAACCAAGCACCAGATGTTCTCATTCATAAGTGGCAGTTGAACAATGAGAACACATGTACACAGGGAGGGGAACACCATACACCAGGGCCTGTCAGGGGTCGGGGGCAAGGGGAGGGAGAGCATCAGGACAAATTCCTAATGCATCGGGCCTTAAAACCTAGATGACAGGTTGATGGGTACAGCAAACCACCATGGCACATGTGTATCTAACAAACCTGCATGTTCTGCACATGTATCCCAGAACTTAAAGTAAAATAAAATAATATTTTAAAAATGATTTAAAATTAAAAACCGCAAGTGAAAAGATGAGTAGACATGATTATATACATATTTTAAACCATTTCAAAACAAAATTTAGACTAAAAGAAAAGCAACAAAATGGAAACTATACTATGTGCAAATGAAAACTGCACAATGCACAAAGTTTAATATACAATACAATAAGATAGTACATCCCTTGAAGCCAGGAGTTCAAAAACAACCTAGGCAAAAAGGCAAGATCCCATTTCTACAAAAAAAAAATTGAAAAATTAACAGGCTGTGGCAGCACAACCTTGTAGTCTTAGCTACTTGTGAGGAAGAGGTGGGAGGATCGCATGAGCCTAGGAGGTTGAGGCTGCAGTGAGCCATGACTGCGTCACTGCACCCTAGACAGGGTGATAGCATGAGACTCCTTCTCTATAAATAAGTAAACAAAAGATACTGCAAGAAACTGTATGAATAGTTTTCTGTGCTCAAAGTACAAAAGATATGAAGAAGAGATGCAAGGTGGTAGGCAATGCTTTAGAAATTGATAATGCAACTAGTATTTAGGAAATGCAAACAAAACAATTTTAAATTGTCATTTATGCCTATTAAATGACCCACACCATTAGGTTGTAGGCAAGGGTTTTTCATTTACTGATGGCACTGAAAATTGATTCATTGTTTTTAAAGAGCTGTCTGATATATTTCAAGCAATTTTCTGTTCTGAAAATGTATTTCAAATAATAGTAATAATTTCAAAAACGACATCTAAAATCATTCTTACCTTGCTTGAGAATTTTGGTGATCTATATTTAACAAGGCTGTGAAATCCTCTATGGCTGCAAACCAGTTTTCATTTTCATAATAAAACAGCCCACGTTTCAATAATGCATCTGTTCTTTTGGGATCATAAAAAATACACTACAGGGACAGAGGGAGGTACATAAACATCACAAAATGAAAAAAAACGAAGTATATAATCACGTAAGTGATCTAAAACTATGTTTTTAACTTCAGGTTAATAAAAAGCAAACCATCTGAAGATGTCAGAATATTCAGAGTGGTAGCTAAAGAACATATCCTTAGGAGATTTTTTCCATCATCAAATTCTAGAGAGGGAATATTTTTTAGGAGGAAAAAAAACAGCATATACAGGAAGCCCAGGCTTCTGCTCACTGAAACTTTTGCTGATAAAAATTCATAAGTGAATTGTTCAACTAGAATGGAGTTCATTGGATCTATCTCAGCATTTTATCCTAATTAAAGACGTAACATATTAGACTACATCAAGGCTGATTCAATCACATAAAATATAGATTAATCTAGCCATTAAAATAGGGAAGAGAACTGAACTGGTACTGGCATGGCTCATTCATTTTACATTGACATACAAAGTAGTAGAGGGAACAGACTAAATCATATATCAGTTATAAAGCTCTTCACCTATTGTTAGTAGAAAAGAATTGAAGCACAAAGGTGGTGACCAAATATCTTTCAAATAAAAAAAAAAATCCTAAAGATTTCAAAATTTGTTTGACCTCAGTGTGCTGCATTACTCTATTTCTGAACTATTGGTGCAGGATAGGGGAAACGAAGAGAATAGATAATCTAACAATTTCAGCATCTTCAAAAGAGCTTTTTGGTCATTTCTAGACCAGAAGTTAACAAAACATGTAATATTCTCCTCAAGCAGAAAAATGTCAAGTGGATGTCATGGATTCATAAATAGGGCAGTTGGGAACATGGAAAGTTAAATTATTTAAATAATTGCTTCTAAATTCTAAATTGCAGTAAGGAATAAGAATTTGGAGTTTAAAGTCAGGAGATCAGAGTTAGAATTGTACTGCAATAAGGGGAATATTTTGCCTTGACTACGGTTCAGTTAAAAGTTCATTTCCTGGTCCAGCACCGTGGCTCATGCCTGTAATCCCACCACTTTGGTAGGCCAAGGCGGGCAGATCACAGGGTCAGGAGATCGAGACCATCCTGGCTAACACAGTGCCTGTAGTCCCAGCTGCTTGGGAGGCTAAGGCAGGAGAATGGCGTGAACCTGGGAGGCGGAACTTGCAGTGAGCCAAGATCACACCACTGCACTCCAGCCTGGGCGACAGAGTGAGACTCTGTCTCAAAAAAAAAAAAAAAAAAAAAAGTTCATTTCCTCAATTCTCTGACATCTCCTAAACATAAGTTACTCTCCCACCATCTTTATTTCCTTCATAGTACTTACCACAATTTGTAACAATGCCTTAATATCATAATTTGTAATACTGCCTTAGTAAATAAATACTTGCAAGTGAACAAATGAATGAATGAATGTATGAACAAACCAGTAAGCACAGCTTCTTTGAGAGCAGATAGGTTCCCTGCAGAAAAGAATCAGTTATTCAAGAGTTAAAAAGTAGAAAATACTTTTCTTTAATGTTTAAAGGTAAGAAGCAATTTTCAAAGGCTTCTTTAACCACTGTAGCATGGCTCCAGAGGAGGCAGCTGGAAAAGCTGGGCCCCTCTACATGTTATCTCAAGGCCTCCACGTCCAATTCTGATGTAAATTCATTCATTCACAATTTAAAAAATAATAATTAACACAGTGTTAATATAAATTCCAGTAATGAAAACTCTAGCTCCTAACCTATAACAAATCAATTTTGATTATATAATATATATGAAAAGACCTTCAAAAATTTGCTGTACTATTTGCATGAGGATATCGCAATCTAAACTATATAAATGGTAGAATTATATGTGATAAGACTTACTTTAGAAAAGTCATCAATGGCCAGTACTTTGTTTGCTATTTCATACATCTCACCCCTCCTGAAATAGATGTCAGCATCTGTGGGCCTGCATTTAATTGCCTGGGTATAATTTAGAATTGCCATAGTTACGTCTTTTTTTCCCCTGTAAATTTCTGCCTTTGACAAATATGCCTCTAAAGAAAATTAAAAAGATAAAATTTGGAGTTATAATCCTTTCAATCACTATGAAAATTTTAAAAGATTAATCCCTCTCCCTCCAAAAAATGTAGTCAAAATAATTTTTCTCTATTACATTTTCTTAACTATTAGTTTATCTTATTTTATTCTATTTTATTTTTTTAGGCAGGCTCTCCTGTCACCAAGGCTGGAGTGCAGTGGCACAATCATGGCTCACTGCAGCCTCGACCTCCAGGGCTCAAGCAATCCTCCCACATCAGCCTCCTAAATAGCTGGAACTACAGATGCATGCCACCACACCCAGCTAATTTTTGTATATTTTTTTTATAGACACAGGGGCTCACCATGTTGTCCAGGCTGGTCTCAAACTGCTGGGCTCATGTCATCCGCCCACCTCAGCCTCCCAAAGTGCTGGGATTACAGGCGTGAGTCACTGTGCCTTGACCCATTTCATTTAATTTTTATTTTGACAATGCCAAATTTGTTCTCAAAGGCTGGATAAATGCTCATTTGTGGTTAAAAGTACTTTCAATCTGAAGTAACAAAAATTACTCTTTACCTTTCCATATGTCTAAAATGTTTTTTCATAATCCTTTAATCATCATAGTAAAAAGTTAGGCTGTGATAACACAAAACTTAATGGACTTTTAGCAGTGATCAACACAGGTCAAAAATCATTTATTAAGCTCATGTTTTATTTTATGGGTATGTTGTAGGTGCTGGGGATACAAAGGTGAATATCACATTTTCACATTCCTAGAAAGTTCCATGGGTGCTTCAAGTTGATTGGAGGATAGCACATAAGAGCAAAGATATAGATTTCATACAACCAAGTAAGCCTAAGCATACAATAACTAACTCAGAGAGATGTGATCAAATCACACAAATCAAAGTGAGATTTGTAAATTACTTCTATAACTAACTATTTTAAATTCATATTCTTTTGTTGTGAGATGAGCAGTAAGGAACCAATTTACTGCAATATATATCAAAGACAGTAAACTTTCAAACCATGATAAGTATTTTAAAAAGACTATAGGATTGTATGAGCCCTGGATTTACAATAACAAGAGTAAAAAAATTTAATTGAGGAAAGTCATTTTCAGGACATATATCTACTGATTTATGTATTCTTACAGTACCAATAAATGACAAAGTTGAGGTCAAAATGTAGGTAATATAACTGTCTCTACAGACAACCCACCTGTATTATTTTTATTATATTTATGTATATAATTCAAGTCATCCAAAGCTTCATTAATTTTGTCTTGGAAAAGATAAATTAAATGTCGTTGCCAATAGGCATTGAGAAACAATGGTTCCAAGAGCATTACCTAGAAAATATATGTAAAAATTCAGTTAAAGTTGATTTGTTAAAGGAGGATATCCTATCAAATAAATGTTTCAAACACGATTGATCCCAGTGGCTTTGTATGTATGTAATGTAAAATAAAACCTCCCAATCTGACAACTAAAAATCATGTTTTTAATATTATTTGAAAATGCAAATAATTATACTGTTATAATAATTCTACATGCTATACTATAAACATTCATTGTTCAAAATTTCAGCAAAAATTACTATACAATTAAAAGCAAGTGTAAATGGTGAATATTACTATTTTGGTTAAATAAAACTTACTCTCTGTAGATCATTCATGGCACTCTGCAACTTTCCCAGTTTTCTATAAATAGCTCCACGCCTACAATATGCAAATGCAGGATATTTTGTCTTATCGTTTATTTCTTCAGTCAAAATCTTCACTTCAGATTCATAATGTTTAATGACCTCTTGTGGAAGATCGGACTCCACATCATCACTTAATTTTAGTTTTGGTGGTTCTTTCACTCTTTCAGGTGGGTCTTTAGGAACTGATATTTTATCATCTTTCTCTTTTACAGGCGTGCTCGCATCTTTGTCCGCAATGAGCCTATCAAAAGCCCATGTCCGAGGATCAATATTTTCTGGAATTCCTCCCTTAGTTTGGAAGAATTTTTCAAAATTTAAATACAAAGGTAAACTGGGACACCGTATTTGACGTTCATATAATGGAACTTTGAACAAATATTTCTTCTGTTCTGGAAGTATTCCATGAGATGTTGATCTAGTTTTTAAAAGAGTGATTTTTTTAATTACAGAAATACAATCATCTTTCTAATCAGTAAATCAACTCAGTCACACATAAAACTACTATTTCTGTTATCAAAACAAAATTACATGCTAATTTTATGCGCAAGTTCTCCTTTTCATTTAATAAAACGGTAACACTGTATGAAGAATCTCAAGTTTATGAAAGCAAAAGACTATTTTTAAAGATGTAGCCTCCTTAGAGTACTAAAAAAATGAGGTCAACGCGCCTTTCAAGTTTAATTTACACCCTCTACCATACCTAACCCACCAGAGGAATTACAATTGAGAATTAAGGAAGTAAACATAATGTGAGAAAAAAAAAAAAATGCCATGCAAGAGGTTAAAGAGGACATGAACTTGAGGTAGCGGGAAGAAGGCAGGAGTTGACTACACCTCAGACTATCAACTGAATATCCCAGTTTTACCCTTCTCTAGTAGGCTATCAAATTAAATAATACCTAATATGCTTTCAAATGCTACAAGTCTAGGATTAGCCTTCTCAAATTCTCCCTTTGCAATATAGTCTTCATTGAGTAACATGTGCCATAGGGCTGGTACTGTACTAGCCATAGGAAATAAGAATAAACTCAGTATATTGAAATAAAATAATTTACCCTATCACTTTATATTTACTGAGTATGTACTATGAGAAATACCTAGTGCTGAACACTAGGAGAACAAAAGTAAGAAAAGTCAGTTTCCTTCCCTTTCCTTACTTTCATAAATTCTCCATTCCTTTCCACATTCTAGTGCAAGCCACCATCATCTATTCTTCTTAGAGTAGAATAATTTATTAACTCCCTGCTTCTACTTTTGCCCTTTGTCTAATTCATTCTCTGCATGGCAGCCAGGCATAGTTTTTGTTTTTTGTTTTACAAATGTACATAAGATCATATCACTCCTCCAAGAGCTTCCCCAGTATGCAAATCAAGCTCTTCACCATGGTCCATAAGACCCCACGTGATCAGGTACCGGCATAAATATTCAACACCACTACTCTCCCCCTCATTCCCTAACTTCCAGCCTTGAGCAAGCCTCAGGGCCATTGCCCTTGTCAGCCCTTCTGACTGGTTGGCTCCTTCTCAATTCATATTTCTGACCAAATGTCACTTTAGAAAGGTCTTCTGTGCCAGATAAGTTTTGTTTGTACCTCCATATTCATCTCTACCCTTCTCCATCTTGCTCCCTGTCCCAGGAAACTGATCTGCACAGACTATAGCCTTAGGATCCCTTGGTCTCTGTCTTCTCATAAAGTTTATCCAATTAGGAACCCCAACAGAGGGAAGGAGGAGAGTGAAGTCAAGGTGTTTATTCCTCTGGCTTCCTGATGAAGGGTCTCCTCAAACTCCCTAGGATTCTTGAACAAAGATCACTACTGCTTTCGAGAAAACCATTTCTATACAACTCTTTTCTTTCAGCTTCTAGTCATCACTCCCTCTTTTTGTCCTCTCAAATTTCGGAGTAGAAAATGGCTTTACATTTTTAATCCCAGGATACTGCATTATCATTTTTGGTTTCCTTGTACTTTGATATTTTTGTAAATTTCTCCTTTATCATAACTTCCCAATATTATCCTAAGCTGAGTGGTGTTTATGATTGGGATCTTCACTGACAAAGTAATTAGTACAAGAGATGGACTCAGGAAACACACACACACAGAAAGCATTCTAGGATAACTTCCTTGCCAGGCTGAAATAGGACATAGGTAATCCATGGCATGTGGTGGTATAAAAATTTGTCAAATATCACCAATGTTAGCAGGGACTGATATTCAGGTGGAAGACAAGGCATTGGGAGATCAAGGAGCTTTAAGTCATTAAGACAACAATAATTATTATAAAAATTGTGCGTTTAATAGCAAAGACTTGGAATCAACCCAAATGTCCATCAGTGACAGACTGGATTAAGAAAATGTGGTACATATACACCATGGAATACTATGCAGCCATAAAAAAGGATGAGTTTGTGTCCTTTGTAGGGACATGGATACAACTGGAAACCATCATTCTCAGCAAACTATCGCAAGAACAGAAAACCAAACACCACATGTTCTCACTCATAGGTGGGAATTGAACAATGAGATCACCTGGACACGGGAAGGGGAACATCACACACCGGGGCCTATTGTGGGGAGTGGGGAGGGGTGGCATTGGGAGTTACACCTGATGTAAATGACAAGTTGATGGGTGCTGACGAGTTGATGGGCGCAGCACACCAACATGGCACATGTATACATATGTAACAAACCTGCACGTTGTGCACATGTACCCTAGAACTTAAAGTATAAAAAAATAAATAATTAAAAAATAAAATAAAATAAAAAATTGTGTGTTCAGCTGACTACTTCTTTCAGACCAAAGAGTAGTTGCAGTACCTATTAAGTACCCTCTAAACTTTGTGAACCAAGTTAATGAAGCTAGTAGGCAAGAAGCAGAAAACTGAAATATGGGATGTTAACATGCAAGGAGCTATGAATGAGAGTGAGAATTTTAAATCTCCAGTTCCCACTTATCTTCCCTTTACTGAGGAAACTGGCTGAGGAATTGTCAGATCCCCTACCTGAGACTGTCAGTCCTCTCCTGCATAAGTTTCTTTCAATGATTACACTGTGCCATTGCCTCATATGCTGTAAGGCACCTACCTCAAGCATGTCCTGAAATCACTCAGCTGTGACTCTCAAACTCTCTCATGGAGCCACAGCCATCACAGTCCCTCAGTCTCCCACATACCTCCTCCATGGAGGTGACCTTGGGTTGGTGGCTGCTGGCCTCACCACACACAGCCTTAGCTAGAACACCTGGGAATACTCTAAGTGAAGGGTTCTCAAACTTCAGCATGCATCAGAATTACCCAAAGACTTGTTAAAAATACAGATTTTGAGGCTCCACCCTCAGGGTCTCTTATTCGGTAGACCTAGGGTGGAGTTCTAGAACTTGCACCTCTAACAGGTTCCCAGGTAACAATCATGCATGGATTACACTATAAGAGCCATTGCTATAGAGGAATGAGTTCTAAGGTTCAAGAAACAGGAATTTGTCTGCAATATGGAATGTGCTTAGTCAAGTTCTAACCCTTGGAAAGACCAGAGAATGCATAAGTGAGGGGGCAATACCCTTGAAAAGCCTTGTGGATGCTGACCTCAGAGCTGGAAAAGAATGACAGTGGGGGAACGGGAGCAAAGAAATTTGTTTCACTGACTCCAGTGGGAATAATAGAACCCTGGAGTGGTAAAATCCCGTTTACCACTACAGATATGGTAGATACAATGACCACAATAAGCAACAGAGTCAGAATAGTAATAACAGGATTTTAACTCTCAAGGACCTGTGGCAATAACTAAATGTCTAAATGTCCTTAGAGATGAGATAAATGGGCAGCTTGCCTGGGTGCTCTTTGCTTACATAGGGGAAAAACTTATAGGTCTTCCGGTACAAATCTAACCAGCTATAGTGGGGGTTCACAATCTTTCACCCAGCTCTCAGACCCCAGCCAGTTCATAGTCCAAAACCTCTCTTAACAGGAAGGTCGGGAAAAGTATCACTGAGGAAGAATCCTTCAATGTGGCTTTGGTATACACAGTGAATTTTCCCTGAAATCTTCTAAAGGTATGAGAAAGGGGAACCTCAAACCTTCCAGGGGTAATTAGATACTGGCTCTGATTTTATGCTAATCCACAGATACCCACTACAAATCCCACTGATGTTTATCAATCAAATTAAAGAATTACGAAAGTCAAGTGATAGAATCTTGGTCTGAGACCATTTAACAGTGGATCTGGTAAGACATGGACCCATTTTTTGATAATTTCCCTAGTCCCAGAATGTATAGTGGGAGTAAATACATGTAACAACCGAATAAACGGTAGACTGAGGAAGATAATGGTAGTAAGGGCCAAGTGGAAATCGCCCTCATCCCATCTCACACCACTATCCACCAAGATAGCAAACAAAAAGCAATACCAGATTCTGGGGAAATCACACATTAGTGTCACCATCAGACTTGAAGGATATAGGTGGCAATTCCCACCATATCTCCAGTTTACTTTCCTATTTCACCAGTGCAAAACCAACATCGCTTGTAGGAAGTGACTATAAATTATCACAAATTTAATCAGGTGGTGATAACAATTACAGCTTTAGTTCCAGATGTGGCATATTTACTGAAGCAATGAACACACCTTCTGGCACCTGGTTTGCAGCTGTTGACCTGACATGCTTTCTTTTCCACTCCCCTAGTTTAGGAGAATCTGATGAAGTTACATTTAGATGTCAGGGACAACTCTCTCCATATATATACACACACATATATATATGTGTGTACATACCTATATATATGTGTATGTGTACGTACATATATATGTGTATGTGTATATATATGTGTGTGTGTGTGTATATATATATATCCCATATCCAACCCACAAGCAAATCCTGTTGTCCCTATTTATAAAATCTATCTAAAATCTAACCACTTTCCACTACTTTGGTTGCTATCATCCCAAACCAAGAAACTATTTCTCACCTCGATTATTTCAATAGCTTTCTAACTGGTCTCCCTGTTTCACTACAATCTATTTTTCACAAGTAACCAGAGTGAACCTTCTGGAACATAAGCTAGATCCTATCAACTCACTGCTCCCAAATCCCAATGTTTCCTTTTCTATTAAGAATCCAAAGTCTTTGGCATAACCTATAAACATCACTACCCCATTCTCAAGTCCAGTGATTTCTTGGCACTCTTAAGAATAATTTCAAATTTACTCTGGCCTATAAGGCACCACTTGGTATTATCTCTGACCACTTCCTCAACCTCGCTTCTTTCCACCCTGCACTCACTCTGTTCTAGCCACACTGATTTCTATGTTGTCCCTCAAAAGCAACAAGCATGTCTCCAACTCAAGGCCTTTGCACTCACTATGACCACTTCAGATATTCAAATACCTCATTCCCTCATTCCATTCAGTTCTACGCTCAAATA